TGATTACTGAAACACCTGACCCCACCCAGTTGCTTTACTAAGCCCTAGATGTGATAGCTGCACCACTTAATCGTGGAACTACACCGAACCTCAATATTGAAGCCGGTGACTAACTTTTTGCTAAGGTACATGCCCCACCCATGTATTCACCCAGGCTTCGGTAACCTACCGCCATAGCTTAACCTATGTACTCGGGGTCAGGGCTAACCATTGAACCTCTTATCTAACTAGTACTAATTATGCCACCGAACCAAGTTCATATCTCAAGCCACTTCTAAGAGTGCTGCCGCTACCCAATCCGACAACCACAACCTTCCTAATTAGACTGTCACCTACTTCCGCCCTTGTATAGGTTTACAACAACCCTAATACCCGCAATTAGACCATCTTCTTACCCAGATTCTTTATTGGTCCCTCTTTTACTTCCAGCTAACAACTCGGAAAGGTCAGTCTGCCCAGGCTTTAGATGCCTGAAAGACACCCTCCCCTTGGTATATACTTTCGGAGCATATATCCTTTTCCTTTGGTGTGACAACCTGGCAGTTTGGCTAGTGTGTCCTCCGCCATTAGGACCTGGTTGCTCGGTTCTCCGATCTCAGGCCCCAGTTCGAATTCAGCCCTCTTGTAATACCATTGTAGATCACTGCTACTCCTAACTCGGGACTTCCCAAATGGGTTTTCAATTATGCCGGTTTCTCAGATTTATTGCACCATTGCTCCCATTACTAGATAGTGTAACCAAAGTTACAGATTAGATCCAACTAATAAGCATAGCCATTAACCAAACACAAGCCCAATTTTCAAAAATCGTCATTCGTGGGATTCAAACTCTAGACCTGCCACTTGGAGAGAGTAACAACTAGACCACTACACTAAGTTACCACACCTCTATATCTAATAATATTATCATACTATATAACTATGTACACTATATAAAAATCATTAAAAAAACTAGCTAGTTAAAAGATATAACTTTAAATAGTATAAAAATATTTGATTTAATAAATCCTTTTAGTCATCTAAAATTTTTTTTTTAAGCCTATTAATAAACCTTGGTGTATTCTATAAATTGTTATTTAAATTTTAACTTGCATTTTGATAATTTGCTCTACAATAAAATTTCTTAATATATATCTATATAAAACAAATTGTTAAAATTCCTTTGATATAAGATATATATATAAAAAAATTTGTCTATATAAAATAAAATGTCTTCAAGAAAAAATTATTTGAAAAAATAAATTAGTATAACAAATATAAAATTAATCTTTAGTAAGTTTTGTAATATATTTTAATTGGCTAATTTTTAGTTTTACTCTTTCAAAAATAATATACATTCTTTTAAATCAAGTTCTTTTTCCTATTATATCAGATTAAATGAAATAACTGTGTAAATTTACAAATTAATTTAATTTACTCACTTTCAGATCTAACTCAACTTTCAATTTTTCATGCTTGTTTGATTCTGTATCTTTCAAACTTTTGAATTTTTTTGATTTTTTAGTTAGGTTTAATTTTTTGCTTTCTGAATTATTTTTTTAGAAAACTTATATTCTCTGAAAAACTTCTTATTTTTTAAATTTTTGCTTGGTTTCTCCAGATCTTCACATTTGCTTAGTTTTGAATTACTCAAATTTATGATATACTTATACATTTTTGACTCTTTGTGCTTTTTTTTGCTTGATCTAGAACCTAAATTTGTAACTTTTTCCACTATTATGCAAGAAATTTTAATGAAACTCGAATCATTTTCATTTAAAATTTCATCTGTATTTGATTTATTGTTTGTATTCAAAATATAGATATTATTATTTGTATCAGATGAACTTAATTCATCCATTGATTTTACACCTTTGATTGGTTTTGGATCTAAATTTTTGTGTATCCTTTTATATTTCTTGCTTGATCCACTTTTATTAGAACCTAAATTTGTAACTTTTTTCCACTATTTGTGCTAGAAAAAATTTCATCAGAACTTGAATTATTTTTATTTAAAATTTTCCTTGCATTTAATTTATTGTTTGTATTCGAAATATAAAAGTTATTGTTTGTGTCAAATGAACTTAATTTGTTTATTAATTTTACATCTTTGATTGGTTTTGGGCCTAAATTTTTGGAAGATCCAAATTTTTGTATACTCTTTTATGTTTCTTGCTCAGTTTTAGAGAATCATCAAAATTTGAATTGGAATCTAATTATATATTATTTTTATTATTTTTTGAGCTTGTAAATTCACCAGAACTTGATTTTTTAAAGTTGCTTTTAAATTTTTTTCTATTTCAAGTTGTTAAGTTCTAAATTTTCAAATAAAACATTTTGTCTTTTCAATTTATTTCTTTCAGTAGACTCTTCATGTGTTGTCAATTCAGGATTTTTAAAATTTCTATAAAGTTTTTTCAATACCATTTTGTCATTCTTTAGTACTTTCATGAGTTTCATATATTATCAGTAATAATAAAATAAAAGAATATTAATAAAGTATATGACTAAGATTTTAAGATTGTTAACATTAAGGAAGGTGTATAACAGATTTTTTATTGGAATTAGTAGACCTTAACAAATCAAAATTTTATTTCTGTATTAAATAACTAAATTAAATCATTGCAATCTTGCAAAGTTATTCTATACAGTTTATACAAAGAATACTTGTATAGTAAAAAAATAGTTTAGATTGATTTTACTATATTTACACAAGAGATCTTGTACAGTAAAAAGATAGTTGACTAAGTATTTGATTCTGCTACATTTATACAAGAGAACTTATACAGTAAAAAATATAGTAAAGGCTTTTATTATATATACTATATATTACATAAGCTAGCTTGTATGGTAAAAAGATAGCTGAGCTATTAAGAAATACTATTATTTACGGCTATGATTTATAAAAAAAGCTTTTGCATAGTAGAGAGCTCACGAATTTCTATTTGGTTATTGCAAATCAAAGCCATAACTTATATAACTCTATTGAAAAAATTGGCACATATATTTTTAGTCTTAATTAACTTCCTAGCTCTTTCAATAGCATCTTTGAAGAGAATTTCTATTTAAAACAATTTCATATAGCTTGTTATAGAAAACCTTATTAATATTTCTTAAATCATACTCGGCTGTTGTTTAATTGATATACATAGCTATCAAAGTTTGGAAGGGACCAATCCTCTAGTCTTTTGTAGAAATAGGTGTTGTACATCTTGGCTGTTATAAAATAGTTTTTAAAAGGTTTTATGAAAAAGGTTTATATAAAAGTTTTTTTATTATAAAAGAAATTAAAATTTTTTGGTATGAAAGTTTTGTAAATTTATGAAATCGACACTTGCCTGGTGCCCTTTAGTGGGATCTGTAACAGATACCACACTGAAACTATATTGGGAGTGTAAAGTTGTTAGTATGAGAAATATGGGGAATATATTAGGGTTAGAATAGGATATTTAGTTAGTAGTACACAAAATCCAGGTAATATATGAGTGGAACATAGACAGCTCTGGTAGATATAGATTGTAGATAATTTGTCTAAGCCACTGTTCTATTAATTGTTGTATAAATATATGTAATTAATATACGTATATACTTAATAAATAACATGAGGCAAGATCTCACCTTAAAAAAAAAAAAAAAAAAAAAAAAAAATTTATGAAATCGTTGGTGTCACAGTTAACTTATATTGTCTATCAAAAATATTGTAATATCATAGTTGACTTATGTTATCTATAAAAAATAAAAAAAAATTACAAACATCAAAGGGTATTATAGTTGATTTGTGTTGTCTAAAAAATGAATTGAAAAATTAGAGTATTATAGTTGATTTATATTGTCTATCAAAAACATGAATTGAAGAAAAATTTTTTGAAAATGTATATAGTATATATATATATAATTTGAAATAGTTATAACTGCTATTACTATTTTTTAAAACAAATTAATAAATATATTAGAAATGTTAAGTACTAAAATAGTTCAAGTGAACTTGGTTTATACTAAGCATAGATATTAACTAGTTCTTTCTAATTGAACCAATATTAAAGATTGAACTTTGAGAGCTTTTTCAAGCCATGTTATTATCTTAGCCAATCAGAATGCATGTTAGTTATGTAATTATATACCTTTTGGCTTGAAGGTGTTGTGGGTCTAGGGAGAGATATGATATTTATTGCCAAATTTAGCTACTAAACCACATTAAAGGGATTGGAGAGCAAAATATTACTATAAAAGTTTATATACAAAACCTGGGTTTGTTTCATTTCACCAATTTAAACCATTTAGTAAATCTGAGGTCTAGTATATTCATCATAAGAAAAAAAAAATTTAAATTTGTATTTATAATGGGCATTCTAAAAACTGTTATTAAAATGTATATCAGTTTCATATAATATTAAGTACATCAATTTTTTTATTGGTTAATATTAAAGTCTAATTGTACGCAAATCATTTTTTATATTTATTTTTTATGTGAACAAAAGTTTACCCAGAAATTTATTACATAATAATTTGATAACAAATTACAAGTTGTTGTCTATAGCTAATTTTTTTTATTTATTAGTATTATGACATTAAAACATGTTAAAGATTTGTTTTTAAAACTGGAGTAATTTATTTGGTTTATTATAGTAAATTTTACAATATTAAAACATAAGAACAATAATTGAATTCTAACCCATTACAATTATCTCTAACAAAAATGTATGGCTTGTTATTGTTAATATTTTGTGAAGTAAAATACATAGATATTATAAAATATACATTTAATTATACTCTGGTACTATACTAAGGTACTGGAACTGACACTATTGTTAAATAAGTTTGGAGAACACTTCCCAATATAGTACTATAGAATGTTCTATTTTACTATATCTAAATATATATATACAATTCTTGAATTTTAATTTTTAAAATACTATTTTATAATACTGTATGGCACTGACAATAACCCCTGCTTCATGAAAAGACTTGGTGCAATTCATTCAGAAAATTGAAAAGGATAGATAAAGATTAATAGCCTACTATACAAAATGCTTCAAAATTCATGATGGAATCCTAACTAAAAAGAACAATTATTGTTTCGAATACTGATATTTCATAGCACAAATATGAAAGAGGCTTTTGAGAGAGACAATAATTATGCCAAACCAGGAACAGATGAATAAGGCACTAAAAACCAGGAACTTAATCAGTGATCTTTATATATATTATTATAATCTTTATAACTTTAAACACAGACTTTTGAGTTTTAATTAATTATGATAAAAAAAGATTATTGCTACGTAATAATTCATATATGATTGCTTAAAAACTGCATATTGCAGTATATGTTAAATCATAATAAGATTAAACCTTAAAGTCTAAATTTTCATAAATTTAATAGAGAATGATACGTACTGCACTGCACATTATCAAGTAGTTTCTAGTTCTGCTTAGAACTCTGGGAATGCAATTGAACAGATTCTATTTAACAAATTACCGTGTGAGCGCTCGTGAGAATTATTTTGAAAATCAGATTCTTTAAAAATAACTTCTATGTTCTCGATATTTGCACTGTGGGCATCCTAATGTAGCACATAATTTGTTGTGATAAATGATATACAATTGGCACTCTATATGTGCACTCTTTATAAATGCACTTCACATGCACTTTCCAGTGTTTCGGGCGAAACTATTTTCTAAATCTAAAACGTTTCGCCCAGAGGAATTTTAGTTTCGCCCTATAAGTCCGAAACCCTCCAAATATAATTTGATCTGCAAAATCGGGTTTCGCCCGAAACACTGATAAGTGCACATAATTTGATGAAAATAAAATTATTTAATATTATCGTTATATGTAGATTATGCCCATAAATGAATATTCTATAAATGCACTTTTATCTGAAAACGTGCAGTTATGGAAGATTGACTATATTGGATTTACTCTCTTATTTTGAAATAACAACGCGCATCCTAATGTGGCATATAATTTGTTGCGATTGATATACAATTGGCACTCAATATGTGCACTCTTTATAATTATAAGTGCATTCCATATGCACTCTCCAGTGTATTTTCTAAATCCAAAACGTTTCGCCCAGAGGAATTATAGTTTCGCTCTAAAACCCAAAACCCTTCGAAGCTAGTTTCACCCAATTTGATCTGCAAGATTGGGTTTTGCCTGAAACACTGATAAGTGCACATAATTTGATGAAATTATTTAATATTATCGTTATACCCATAAACGAATATTCTATAAATGGAAGATTGACTATATTGGATTTAGAAAATCAACTATTATTTTGAAATAACGCACATGGATGTATTCAAAATAACACACAGGTAGGCATTATTTCGCACTTATATGGTCTCTAACGTTAAAGAAATTGGCAAAAAAGAATTTGATTAGTGTTCAAAGACAAGCCGGCTTATCACGGCTTGCTGCGGCTTATCATGTGATAAATTCGAATTTATCACCAAGCC